TTTGTATAAAAGCTATAATAGAACTTCCATTTAGAACATGTATGCAGAACAGAGACGAAATTATTATGCAAAACTTTTAAGATTTTTCGTACAAAAGCGTGTATTCACATAGCATATAAATAAAGGACAGAGAAGGAATTATTCTATAGAACAATGGCGGCATCTAATAATTCTATTTCTATTTTCTATATAAAAAATTATAAATTCATGTTTGATATAACCGCAGTAAAGATTCAATTTGCAAAGTTTCTTCATTATCAAATTTCCGTTCTTGACGCCAACCATCGGTGACTGAAATTAAATATTATATGCAGAGGTTAGTTAAATAAAAATAAGGATAAATTCAAACTTACCATTGGAATATAGCGAGGAAGCGAGGAGCGGAGGATTTGCGGAGGTATTAACGCGCTGGTAAAGTCAATTCCGTCGCAGCATTTGTTCAGTTTCGGCAGGAAATAACTAAAGCTACCGAATACCAACTTGAAAAGCCTTTGGTACAGATTCAATCTTTCAAGATAGGCATTTTATTGAAGCCATAAGAAAATATTACAATTTTCATTATTTCATCCATTTCATCCTTAGATTTCATCCGTTTTATCCGTGGCTTGATTATAATTTCCATCACGTTCGATTTTGCTAATGTGAGAAAGAAACTCTCTTTTTCGGATAAGGTTTCTTTTCCTTTTGTATATATTAAATATTTTTTTTCTTTTTTTCTTTTTCTTTTTCGTTTTTTCTTTTTTTAAATAACGTAAAACTTTTATAAGTTTTATTAACGTAACATTAAAAGAAGCAACGTAAATTCTTCAAGAAGCAAATTTTTCTGCCGGTGCGTTTGTCCTTATACTCTGTGTAAATAGGTATACAATAAAAATGGGGAATTTTTAGCAGGTTATAAATGCTCGCGCCAGGTGCAGCCATAACTTATAATGAAAGTGAACGATTAAATATCAAAGGGGGGTAAAATTCGCTAAACAAACGCTAGTGTTATACTTGAAGCCGTAAGCAGCGGATTGAGAGAATTCAGTTACAAAAAGAAGAAATTATTCGTGCCTTAACTTACAAAAAGAAAATGTTACAATTTGTACTTTGTGTAATCCTTTTTAACTTTTCTGACGCCATCAATTTTAGTGCTACACGTACGTATCTGTTATTATTTTGGTTTTCTCTCGTTGTTGTTGGACTTGCTTCTCTTTCTGCAAGGTTAGAAAGTAAATTGATCCTTAAAGACTAAACTTGTAGTAAAATGTACTGAACAGAACATACCTACGCATAAAGATAAGTGTAACATATTTGTCTATTTCTTCATCGAACTGATCTAATGAGGCTGATGCTGCTTATGTGGATATTTGTGGCGATCACATTGCAATTGTTCTGCGATGAACTTACCTATTTTCTCAATAATTGTAAGAAGTAGTATAGTAATTGTTCGTAATCTCGCTTTCTTTCATAGCCTGCAAGCCTCTTATCCTGCCTTCGTGGCATCGACTACGTTCTTTTTATATTGCAATTTGACTTTGCCTCCATTCTTCACAATCCTTTTGTGCCGCTAAGCATCTTTTTCGAATAAAATTTACATAATTAGTTTTGAGGCAAACAAAGTCTGAAACGTCTGAAGTTCATTCATTCAAAAACGATCCGAAGTAGTCGTGTAGTCATGAAAGCGTGTTTGTGTGTTCTGGAAATAGAAATTTCAATTAACTAAGAGGGATCGATTCATTTCACTTATACTTTCAACCAGTTCATCCTGCATTTTTCGTTTGATAACTTCTCTTTATAGAAAATTATGGTGAATGCTTGAATTCAAGTCATGAGAAGGGATTATGTGTTCTCCTGCAAGACTGTGAATATCTCGTCAATGCATTGCTAACGTCGCCAAGAAAGAACTCACACACCGAATATTTAAGCCGCATCCAATGTGGAATAAAAAATGATAAACCATTGGTATGTTGTTTAAAGCTTACCTCAAAAGTTGCCTCAACGCTCGATTCGCTGAACAGTAAAATTGCCCTCTTACCTCGATTTGAACAATGCGCCCAAAGTACAACTGTACAAACGAGTAATAATGGAAATATCGCGAAAGTTAAACAGTACCCTTGGAAGGCTTTATTGGAACACACTAAAGGTTAGTGCAAACCATTTTGCTTTCATTTATTTGTTTGTCGTGTAATACTCGTCTTGACGTTTTCAGGCAATCGTAAGCGATACAAATGTGAAGGGTCTTTAATCAGTGCCAGTTATGTTATCACTGTTTCACATTGCGTTAGTGGTCGTTTATCACTTTTAAAATGGCATTTAACCGGCGTTCGATTTGGTCAATGGAATTCTGAGGAAAATTCTGATTGTAAAAATGGAAAGAATGCGAATAATTCATGTGCTTCGAGCCATATAAATGTGGCAATTGAATATGCTGTACCACATCCCCTGTATAGTTTAAAAGCTAAGAACCAACTACACGATATCGCTCTTATTAGGCTGGCTGAGGTCGTACATTTTACAGATTTTGTAAAGCCGATATGTTTGCCTTTAAATAAAGAGGAGCGAATAATCGACTTTAAGAGCTTGATTATGGAAGAAGCTGGATGGAATCTCAATTTTATTAAAACCAAGATTCAAGGTGTTGCTGCCCTTAAATATCATCGCATGTACATGAAGCGTAACATTAGATTAGCAAATTCGCAATTTTATGTCGAAAGTCAAGAGCCGAGGTACACTTTGAGAAAGCTTGGTAGTCCTGCCGTCACATTATGTCCTAATCCATCTAATGGATGTAAAAGGTATTTAAGAAACTCTAGTCTGACACAGGCGACCATTAATTACATGTTTGTTTAATTTCTTTTAGGATACGCCCTTATTACACGTTGGCTGGCCTTTTGTCGTTCTATCCCCGATCGAGCTATAAGATAAAAGTTTACACTAAAATTCAGCAGTATATTGGATGGATTTTGGAAACAATTGAAGAATAAATGCACTTACCAATTAGCCGATTAAGACCATTCTTGGTTTCAGATATTTGCTTGATATTTCTAATTTTGATAATTTGTGAATTTCGAAGTAGATTCCTTAAAGTTTGAATAAAATGATATTTTCTGAAAATTAAAACAAAATTAAAATATGATTTTTGGAACACTTTGACTGTCATCAACATATCATCAATACATTATATATATATATATAAATATATATATATAAATATATATATATATATACCTACGATTACACCTAAATGGGTAAAGAATCCACTTATCGCTGTTAAGATGCGTTTAACCAAAAGGCTCGGCGCATTTCTCTGCGTTAAAAATGTTCAAGAAAATTAGCACAAAAAAGAAGAATTTCGAAGAAACTCCCGACACATTTTCCCTTGCACAAAACGTAACATAAAAAAAAAGAACGTATGCTGATAGCAGATATTGAGTACATGATGTATGTAAATGAAAAGGATTTAAGAGTTTGTTCTTTTTTAATAACTATACTTTCGCAATTGTTATATTTTTAAACAATAATCTTAATATTCAAGCATTAGCTAAATGATACTACTTGGGAAGTAAGAACTAATTAAAGTTAATTACTAAGAAATAACAATATTTACATTAAAAGAGAATAAATAAATTTTTAATTTACAGAAGACGAGAAAGACAAAGAAAAAAGTTGCTTAAGGAGAACAAAGTTCTTTAAAGCGTAAATAAAGACCGAAGGGGCCACGCTTGCGCGCATTTAAACTAAAATGGTAATAACTGCCAGCATTCGACCACTCAACGATGTCTAATGATGTCTACAATGTCCACAAAAAAGAATCCCTGCTACAGAGTGCAACATTTATTCTCATGAATGATAGAGCAACACTGTTTTTATCAATTTGATTTTTAAGAGCGCAGGGAAGCCAATCGACTTTGCATTTCTTGCAAATCTTCTTCGTCGTCGTCCTCTGCATCCTCCTCTTCTGCTGTTGCTTTTTCGCCACCCGCAGCTAAATCCTCTGGCGGGACAGGAGCTTCACCCAATTTGCCATCGGTAATTTCGAATAGCACGTTGTCAATCTCTTTTTGTGCTTCCGCTTCCATTTCTTCGGTCTCCTCCAGGGAATCCATAGTCTCCTCCAGCATTTCTTCTATAATGCCGGCTTTCATCATTTCTTTCGACATGTCACGCATGATGCCGGCCAGTTCAGGATAACGTACCAAATTTTGCATGGCTTGCATAACTTCGGTGGATTTTTGAAGAGAGCCGGCAACACGTAAAGTAGCTTTAAAAAAAAAAAACAAAATACCAAAAATTACTAACGAAGAAAGTAACCGCAGCAGCAGCTGTGGCACCTAGTAAATGTGAAATGTTCTCAACGTTAAGAATGGATCGGAGGGCGGTAACAATCTTAAATCCTACTTCGGCTTGTAATACGAGAGATTCAAAGAGAGTTGAAGACATATTAGAAATTTTATTGCCCAAGAGCGAAGATGCTATACCTCACCGAAAGTTTCTTCTTCATATTACTGCCTGTCTGCCCTATTATCAAAAACATATACTTCGCGCTAGGAGCAAAAAAAAAGAAAGAGAGGAAAAGTGCGCTCAATTGCAATCTCAGGAGCATATGTAGTTAGTAAGACAAAGTTTACTTCAACAAAAGCATTTTGAATATTTCCCTTAAAGCCGTTACTTCCTTTAATGAAACAAAGTCCTCATTAGTTAATGCCACTGCCACTGCCACTGCTATGCAACAAAACGATTTTTCACCCACCCAATTGATTTTTCATATTTAGTTGTATGGAATTGAGGTGGGCTTTTGATGTATAAATGCGGCCAACGGCTTTACGGGCATTGACAATTTCTTTGGCCAATATCACACAAGTGTCACGATCGTTCTTGACGGCAGCCTGCTTCAAAGATCTTTTCACCTTTTCCTCTTCTCTATGAATGCTGCGTATTTGACGATCCAACTGATTGCTTTCCTTGCGTATTTTATGCGTCCATTCTTGAACCTGCAATAACGCATAATACACTTTTTTGTTTTTGTGCTCTATTCGTAAATTTATTTGTATTGCTATCTGATGTCATCATATAACTTCAGTTCGTCCGTATATACATGGTCAGCCGTAAGCTGCATTCATCTCTAGGAAGTCCGTTTTTCAAAACTTACTTGTTCTTTGGGATCTTTAGATTTGGTCTGACCGAATAAACCCATTTTCCGTTGTATATTTTTCTATATTTCCACAAAATAACTAAAATATTAAGTGACTCATCTGCAATTTGTTATTGAAGGAGAAAATTTGTTTTCCTTTCCGAATGTTTGTGTCGTTCTTTCATATTTACTGACTGATGACATAACCAAAGTTGCCGCTACGCAATATTTTCAAAACAAATCGTGGCATCGTTTAGGATAAAAAGTCTGGAAGACAGCAGTCTATATATCAGACAAATCGTCAAATTTCACAAACAAGTAGCTCAGCTGATCCTGTTTAGGTTTATTTAGCTAATTTGCAAATTTATACGAGATCCTTGGCATATATTTCAAGACAACACGATTACACGAATCTATACATCTGGCAATCACAATTGATAGATTTTTGTGAACATCTGTTTTTGAGGTTGAGGTTAAGTAACCATATGGGCTTTTGAGGCATTTTTTCCCCCAATCAACCATTGCATCATAAATCGTATGTGTGTTTGTCTGCTAAAATACCAAGTTATATCGGCTTAAAAGAATTTATTGAATGAAATCGACAAATCCATCAGCTTAATATCTGATAAAATAATGCAAAACTCGCATAAATGTCTCAGTTTGTTACGTGAAGCAACACAAAATTTTACAATAAAAAATGCAACTTACACGAAATCTTTACCAGCTAGAATTGCAGGAATTAGTGGAGCAATGGTAAGCAAAGGAATGCACTTAAGTCGATGTTTGCAAAGAAATCGCAATCGCAAACAGGAACCTACGAATTTGTCGGCTTTGTTTAAACCTGTTCACGTGCAACGCAATGTCGATGAACATGACGTTGGGTCTGAGCTCGTGGGCAAATTAGAAAAGTCGGCAGTATTAAGAATTTTGAATAATTTTACCCAACGTCACGAAATAAAAACGCTGTGCCAAGAGAATGGATTGGATAGTAAGCTATTTCCTATTTTCTCTCGTATCTTTATAGTTTCAATATAAAAAATTCAGACTATTTACAGCATCAAGCGTTCGCTTCATTTCGCCGGTATTGTATAGAATCTGAAAATTTACCGGTTGATATCCATATTATCTTCAGTGATATTATAAAAGGAGCTGGTCATGTAGATGACATTTTTCCATATTTTTTGCGTCACGCCAAATCCATTTTTCCTCATTTGGATTGTATGGATGATTTAAAAAAAATTTCCGATCTAAGAACTCCAGCCAATTGGTATCCTAGCGCTCGAAATATAACACGTAAAATTATTTTTCATGCGGGACCGACAAACTCTGGAAAAACGTATCATGCGTTAGAGAGATTTCTCTCAGCCGAATCGGGTGTATATTGTGGTCCATTAAAATTGTTAGCTACCGAGGTGTTCAACAAAGCTAACGAAAGGGTGAGAAAATACGATACCATACCATATATATATAGATCTTTGTTTCGATTAAGAGAATGAAATTATTGGCTTGTAGGGTACGCCTTGTGATTTGGTTACGGGGGAAGAGCGTAAATATGGAATAAACGAGAATACAGCAGCGGCTCATGTGGCTTGCACTGTTGAAATGACTTCGGTAAATAGACCATGTAAGCATTTACTAACTACCACCAACCAAAAGTTTTATTCAGCTTTCGCCCAAGATTTGCAGGAGACGAAATGTAATTGTGGTTTTTATCACATTCCAGATAAAGTGGCAGTAATTGATGAAATCCAACAGCTACGTGACCGACAAAGGGGTTGGGCTTGGACTCGGGCATTTTTGGGTCTCATAGCCGAAGAAGTTCATGTGTGTGGTGAAGCAGGTGCCGTAGAGTTATTACAAAAAATTTGCGAAACAACAAACGAAACTGTTGAAGTTCGCAGTTACAAACGTTTAACGGAATTGACTGTGGAAGATGAAGCCTTAATAACGTTAGATAATGTGCAACCTGGTGACTGTATTGTATGTTTTAGTAAGAACGATATTTACTCAGTATCACGAGAAATTGAAGCGAGAGGGAAAGAGGTGGCTGTCATATATGGAGGTTTACCGCCGGGCACTAAACTTGCACAAGCAGCAAAATTTAATGATCCCGACAACAGTTGCAAAGTTATGGTGGCAACCGATGCTATTGGAATGGGCTTAAATTTGTAAGTCAAAAAGAAAGGATTAAACTGCCACTGCTTAAACTTAAATTGCTTTTAGGAGTATACGTCGAATTGTATTCTATTCGCTAACCAAGCCAACTATGAACGAAAAAGGTGAACGCGAAATTGATACAATTTCAGTGTCATCGGCTTTACAAATAGCTGGACGTGCTGGACGTTACCGCACTCAATGGGAACATGGCTATGTTACGACTTATAAAAGCGAGGATTTGCCTAAACTAAGGCAAATATTAGAGCAAACTCCCGAACCTCTAAAACAAGCCGGTTTACATCCGACTGCCGATCAAATTGAGCTATACGCTTATCATTTACCAAACTCTTCGTTAAGTAATTTAATGGTAATTCGAAAATCACAGAGAAGACCATTCATGCAAATTAATTAATTAATGTTCGGCATTTTAGGATATTTTTGTTAATCTCTGTACCGTGGACGATTCCTTATATTTTATGTGCAACATTGAGGATTTCAAATTTTTAGCCGAAATGATACAACATGTGCCGTTGCCGCTAAGAGCACGCTATCTGTTTTGCTGTGCACCCATTAATAGAAAAATGGCGTTCGTATGTTCCATGTTCTTGAAGGTAAGTCTCGAGTAAGTGGCAAAAGAAGGCATTTTAATTTTTCTCATATACAGATTACTCGCCAATATAGTCGAAACGAACCCATCACTTTCGACTTTATCAGCAAAAACTGTGGTTGGCCCTTAAGTTTACCTAAAACTATTTTGGATCTAGTACACCTAGAGTCGGTGTTTGACGTAATGGACTTATATTTGTGGCTAAGGTATTAATGTTAAATCTATTCCGTGTTTTTAAAGCATATAAGCCTTTGCAGCTATCGTTTTATGGACTTATTCCCTGATGCCTCAACTGTGAGAATTGCACAAAGGGAACTGGATGAAATAATCCGCCAGGGTGTATTTCAAATCACTCGCTTGCTTAAGAATTCTGAGACCACCACCTATAGTATGAGACGAATCACACAAGCAAAAGGTCCTCCTCCTTAGTGACAATATAATAGTAAAACTAAAAACACTCATACTTTCTTTTAAACCTTTTAGAGAGTGGTGTCGGTAATGTAGGTATCCGCGGACGTTTAACAGATCGTCTTATCGCACAAGGCCTACTTACACCGGCCATGTTAAAGGAATTACGCAAAGAATGGGATGCGCAACAACAGATTCGACCGGCCAATGAGCAGTCAATGAACAGCAAGGACTTAGGAAGTTATGATCAAAATGACAGTGATGACGACAATGCTTTCGGCAGAAAAAGTCGAAGAAAACGCAAAAAATAACGCAAAATGACAAAAGCTCTGGCTTAGAATATATATGTATATACTCAACTCTGTGCAGTTTTTCTGTATAGTTTTTTAGGAAGACTTGTCGATTTGAATTAAATTCGGGCGATCTCTGGCCTTCCTTTTTTGAAATTCCAAGGAGTCAATAAAGTTTGCCCATCTCTCAAACACAATTTACCTATGTGTGTGTTATTGTCGACATTGTTTTGGATAGATGCGGCTATTCTGTAAAAAATTCGAAACTATTTTCCGCAAAAATTTCAAAAGCCGGATTTTGAATATAACTGACTTGAATCTTCCCTTGAAGCAATAATTGATATGAAAATGTTAATCTAAAGATAATGAGCAACAAGTTATAATCCCACATTGCGCTCGACAATTAGTTCCCTTCGCAAGCCAACAAAATATCTGCATTCTTGTAGGATCTCTGATAACACGATTAGTATAAACTTGGATATACATGCGTTTACACAAATGGCACACATTTGAACCAACACTTCATTAAGTAAATTAAACGAGCTTTATTCCTAGCCGATAAACCGGCTCGCCCGGTTACTATTGGGAAGCTTGGTTCCACAAGTGTTCTTACATTTAAGTTAGCAAAACACGAATACGTTAGCGTTCATTCTGGGTTCGTGACAACTCAATCAACTTGTTCCTACGTTCAGCGGCTACAATCACGATAAGGTAGTTATAGGATGACATTAAACTTCTGCATAAAGTGGAAATACTTTAATTGGGATGAGAAAGATTAGGTAGAAAATGGACATTTTATATGGAATCACAAATGTCACGTCACGAATTGTAAAAGTGTACACATGGTTTCGGATTTTTTTCTTTCACAACGCAGTCAAATGTATTAAAAAAAGCTCGCATTTTTTATTAAGATTTTATTAACAAAAAATGTTGATATTTACTTTTCTTTTTTTTTTTTTTTTATTTAATATTACTTTTTTTTTTGTTATTTATGTGTCTTTAATTCATTTGTCTGTATCATTGGCAAATATCTGTTATCATTTATAATTATAATAAGTAATATTTATGTGGTTTTGATGTTCATTATTTTTGCTGGGTTTACCTTCTGTTTTTTATTAATATTTAATTTTCGATTTACATTCAAAATTACATATAGAAAAACGATTTAAAAAAAATTTCAATTTTTCTTTATAATATAAAAATGTTTTTTCTTTTTTTTTTTATCATAGAAAAATAGTTTTTTAAATATTTAAGATTTTAATATTCTTAAGATAAATCTGTATTTTTAGAGTGCAATTAAAATGATGCTAGTGTGAAGTTAAAAAATTAATTGATAATTAAAATATATAGAACCTTTAAGCCTATGAAAAGGTTCGGCTTTACTAAGTTTCTTCAAATTGTTTACCTTCTTCTTTTTATTAACAATATTTGCAAAAATATCTTAACAAGATATCAAAGGTAAATTTTCAGTTAAGAAATAAAAACATTGAAACATTACTTGTAATATTGACGAATTTGAGCTTTTGTAGATTTAAATAAATCTAAGTTTTTCACTTCGAAAATATTCGGATACCCGCCAGCTAAAGGAAGAAATTTTTCATCATTTTAACGGTAAGTACATCATTCCAAAGATCTTCAGAAAACATTGAGCGAAAACACTACCGTTAATAAATCTCTCGCGATCACATAAATCTCAAATAATGATGTATACCGTTTAATTGTCCTTGCACCCATAGAATTGTGCTTAACAAGTTCCCAAGTATTGTTACAGGATCTGCCTTTGCATTCTCCTTCGAATATTTCATAAGCTAAGCTAAGGTATTCAAAGTCTCAAAGTCTGAGGCGAAAGTCTCACTCACAACTGTCTTTTATATTCACATGAACGAATTTTTCTCAAAACCATCGCGTGATCAGTCAAATGGACCTGCTCATTCCGTTTAAGTTGTTCAGTTCCGTTTCGCTTCTAAGATCGTTTTCTCTGGGCCTCTCTGATGTATACATATATATATATATATATACATCTACATATATATATATATACATCTACATATACATATATATATGGTTAATAAGTAGACAAACATTCAATGCAATGATGCAGTGCATCACAGTGCAAATGAAATATAAAAACAGATGCCAGGGAGGTGAGAATAAAAAATGCTATTTAGAATGCATTTGAGAGAATGCATTTGATCCCCATTTGCCTATTGTGCAAGTGTCTCAAAAGCTGGGCTGCCTTGGATATGTGATGGTGGGTATGCAACTACTTGGTATTACTTCGTTCTTCTCCTTTTTGTCGGTAAGACAATTTTTACTAACTTCCTCAAAGAGTAGAAAAGCATTATAAAAAAAATAAATTTACATTTACATAATTATCACATATATTATTAAGATACACCCACACATGTATATACGTATTATAAAACAAACTATAAGAGATAAAAAAATGTATATTCTTTCTTAGATAATTATTCCTCTTTAGGATTATAAAAAGATGTGTTTGAAGAAAAATTTGCAAATATAAAAAACATACAGAAATGTTAATTAACAAACTTTGACTCTCATCTTGTAGGCTTAAGGATAAAAGCCACACAACTTGATAGCTTTAATATGCATTTCCTTTTTGTTTATGCATTTAAAAAACAATTAATAATTATTTTATTGAGAAAGAAAAAACAAACAAAATTCATTCATCAATCACATTAATCAAAATTTCTGATTATATATATATAGTCTTTTGGCATTTTTAATACCATTTAATTTAATTTTTTTTCAAAGTTTTTCCTTTTTTTTGTTTTTTTTTTTTTTCTCGTAGTACAACTCCCTTTAATTAATCGCATTTAAGCTTGCTTTTGCTATTTGTCTTGTTTAAAGGAAAACTTTGTTTTCGCTGGGATGCTTAACGGTACAAATATTTAAACGATTCGCTAAGCAACAACTCTCAGTTTAAGCCAGTTTTATAAACCGGTCTCTCCCTGGATCATTTTGATGCCTGTCGATCTGTTCGATTATTATTAATAGCATTCAATAATATAAATTTATATAAATAGATTTATGTGTTTGGCAAAAGGGCTAAAATAATAATCTAGTTTTCTTTAAATTCTTCTTTCACCTTTCTTCTTAGGTTGTTAATTCGTTTCCTCAAATTAACCTAATAATATTTATTTATATGCATTAAATTGTTCATCAAAATTGTATTGTTTATTATCTTTTTTTTTTATTTTTTATTTAATTTAATTCTTCCTCATTTCGCTTAGTTGCCTTACTATTCCGAAAAAAACAAAACGAAAACAAAGACCAAGTCCTCAAGTACTTATGTTATTATTTTGTGCGTATTAAGAGTTAAAAAAGTTGGTTTGTTAGTTCGCTTATCAAGTTTACACGCAAACACACTTTTATAGGTACGTCGTTCCAAAAAGTTTTTGTCTTGGTTTTTTTTTTTTTTTTTTCTTTTTTTTTCCCCCGCTTTTTTTGTGTGACTTAATTTATGTAGTGTTTCAATAACAAATGCAGAGTATCAATATTTGAACTATGTATTATATATATGCGCAAATATGTATGTGAACAATTGTAAATAATCTCTCATTATTCTTTTCCATTTACTACATAGTTATCTTTCACAAACTGTTTCTCCTTCTTTTGGGGGGGATTCTATTAATAATAATTTAAAAAAAAAAAAAAAAAAAAAAAAAAAAAAAAAAAAAAAAAAATAGAAAGTGATTTGTGTTTAAATCACTAAAATCTAAAGAGAGAACCTCACGTTAACATATCCTTCATAATTTCCCTAATGAGAGAATATTGGTAAACAGCTAGACATTGTTTCTTCCTTAATGAAGATAGTTAAATCTGTGCTTAAATTACAAAAATCTTGTATACTTTTCTTCTTTTTTTTTTTTTTCTTTTTTATATATTTTTATATAATTTTTAGCCGGCTTTAGTTTTTTTTTAAAAAACACTTGTTATGCATTCATATTTTGAAGTACATTTGTTAAGCTTTCATAAATAACACGCTTCGTCATTGCAATAGCGACGAAAGGTGGATTACAAAAGTAAACGTATCTTTATTTATGAATAATCAAAAAAAGACAAAGAAAAATAAAATGAGCAACCTCTTGTAGCAAAATTTTTAGATAAATATTATTTTAAAAATTAAAAAAAAATAAATAAATAAATAAACACGACAAATTGTCCTTCGTCAGGACGAGATAAAAAAGTTGGCAAATAGCACAACAGCGCAACAACAACATTCAGTTATTAGAAAAACATGAGTGCTAGCAAATTTGTTTTATAAAGCGAAGCAGTCAATCCAGTGAAGTTTCCTATAATCCAGAGGTTTTTCGAAGGAAGCAAAAATATGAAAGAACCTTAGTGTAAATGTAGATAAAAATTTGAATATAAGCCGCCCGCCTAGTTAAGCGGATATCCGCCTTAGTGGCCGAATAGGCGAAGGATCTCGAATAACAGCTGCAATGCACGAGGGTTTTTAATAAAATCGGGAGCGTTCGGTCAAATTAAAAATTAACCGCAACAAATATACTGGATTAAGCTTTTTGAAACAATTTTCTTAGTGCTTAGAAATATGCATCGTAATTATCAATATGGATTACGAAATTACTATTAGAATATTTCAAAAACTAAGAACTCATCGACTGGTACTGGTACTTTGTACAAATAATGGTTTCCCTCTTCTTGTTGGTTTTTGTTAATAAGCCATAAGACAATATCTATGCGCTAGTCCCAAGGGCTATTCTTTTTGATCATAATATATAATCTGAGCTCGATGCATACTCCTCTTTGATATGATATGTATAACAACTTCCCCGGATTATTTAGATGATTGAAAAAGTTCTGTTCTGTTACGGGTATTAAATGATATTTGATTGTAAAAGCAATTATATATGTATATATATATCATAACTAATAAGTCTAGAAGATTTGCCGTTAATGACGTTAAGTCACTGCCTGCGAATACCGAAAATGCAATTTTCGAAATTTTAAAGCTTTGGCGGCATACGATGTAGAAGCTAAACAAGATAGAAAGGAAAAATCATAAATGCAACTGCTTTACTTGTGTATTGAAAGAGCAAAATGATTCCAAAATTCTCAAAAATAAAATGTATAAGCAAGTGGGCTTTTGGTTCCCGGTACAGGCGTGTTACCTCCTTATAAATTATTAATATCTTTTTGTGGTGTGTTTACATTGTTCTTCATTGGACAACCAAAGTAAAATAGCTGTGGTTGTTGTTGTTGTTGTTATTATTATTATTATTAAATAACAAAAAAGATATAAGCATGTCTGCGTAAATTCTTAGTCAAGGTGACGACAAAACAATTGCGAACAAAATTTATCTGCCCACTATGAGACAAGATTTCAAGAAGCCCAATACGTTTTCTTTTTAGCAAAAGTTTTTTGTTTGTTCTTAAAAAGTTTTGTACAATTTTTTCTTTCGGTTTTGCATTGTGTTATTAACTATAATCTGATACACTTACCCGCATATATACATATTAATATATGTGTACGAGAAGCGCAAGTCGGTCGTGCTAAACAAATTTATTTTATATGCCAATCTATACGAAGTCTAGTTCTAGGCCAGTCTCAATATCAACAGCCACCATATTATCGTGGTTGAGATTTTGGTCTTCTTTTAGTTTTTTCGGCTTGGACTTATCCTTCGAGGAGGAGAATGATGCTAATATACCTAACGCACTGCCACGTCTCGAAGATTGTCCCAGCTGTTCGAATCAAGAATCGACAAGCACATGCCAACGTGCCAGTAATTCACCTTTTGCCATATCACGCATATCCACCCAATGGGCTACTTCCTCAGGCCCGGAAGAATTTAACCCAAGACTAAACCAACCGACCATTTCATTTTTTTTCATATTACGTTTAGCGTAAACGGAAACCTAAGCGACAGATGATAATAATTCCAAACAATTTAAAACTTCCATTAATATATTCCGAGTTATTATTCCATTACCATTAATGTAACATCATTCAATTGAAATAAGGCAACCTAAAGCAGTAAAAGTAGTCTGAATTTTCTATCTCACATAACAATGTCAAAGTGCTCAAAAAAAAAAAAAAAAAGAATACCTGAAGCATACCTGAAATACAAATGTTTCTTTAAACAGCGGATTTGGCTGAGCCCGCCTCGTTGAAGTTTTTGCTCGTGAGATCTCCTGACCGATACTACTGACCAAGCACAATTTCACGTATGTGTCGGGAGCCTTGTTTTGTGATAAGCTACGAAAATAACTGCCCTTGACAATTTCAACGGTGAGACGTCCCGTCGTACCATTATAGCCTAGACTTAGAAGTAATTCGGGCACACCCCCATGTTGCATTGAAGTTGTCGAGCCGGCACTATCAGAACGAGCTAAACTTAAAAGATCACTAGATGAACCCAAAACCTATAAAACGAATCCAAGGTAGTTCAAATTATTTTGAGTGAAAATGTCAATAAATTCACGAACCGACGAAGTATTTCTTGGCTCTAAAGGAAGCCACAAATTTGTTTCCAATTCCAAGTCGATAGTTGCAAAACTGCAATATGCCTCTCCAATCAGTCGTTCTTTCCGTAAGCGTTCGCAACCATATAAGCGTACACGCAAGCCCATGTTATTGACTTCTTCTGGAGTAACACGATGCAGCAAGAAACTTTCCATATATTGAGGATTTTCGCCGGAACGGATTTTCGTCTTATGCTTTTGTTTTTTGTTCGGTAACATAAGAAGACGCACTTGAGTGTGGGTTTGCTGACCATTGCCCAAGACGGGCAATCCTCTTGCCTGTAAAACGTGAACGGTCATCTTGCGTAATGGAGCATCGTACAATAAGGATATCTCAACGCTACCGCTTTTCCCATAACACTGGGTTTGCATCGAAATGTCATCAGACTTTAAAGATCTAAGGTCACTAGTATCAAACAATGGTTCCTGAAACGTAAGCCTAACATAAGTTATGATAATTCAAAGTTAATCAAATTAAATTTACATCTTCAATAAGATTATTGTTGTTATTGCTATTGGCTATGTTACTATTATCATCTTCTAAACTATCTTCGCGTGGCGGCGTTGTAGTTCGTGCGTTAAGGTAGGAGCTTTTCTGATATTTATTTGACTTGGAGGGATCTACATTACACTCTACACGCGTTTCTTTTAAAGAAGAAGAGGAAGATATATTTGTTTCTGGCGTTTTGCTGACAATGTGATTTCGTTCTGGAAATATTCCGCAAAAAATTGTAACAGATCTAACAGAACCGCTCTTCCCTTTACTCACCTTTTTTTTCGGCCATTAAAATACCCGTATTACTATCGAACGAGGCTTCTACAGAATCATTTGAACTGCATTCGCTGTGTGACGATGGTATACCAACCTTGCCACGTTCTGCTATCGCCAAAGGATCCCGTGAGAAATCTCTGGGCGTGACAGTTACTCGTTGTAAGTCGCTACTAACGTAAGCGAAATTCTGCGATAGTGGATTAACTTGATTTATGCCGTAGCTAGTATACTGTCCAACGCCTGCTCCTCCTCCACCATGTGGAGAGGTCAATCGCGCTTGTTGCAAGCGTAATCTCCTCAAAATATCTTCTTCCGAATCCGAACTAGTGTTTTCATAACGTCGTTTACGCGCTAAAAAAGATGATAAGACAAGCTTATGAACCACGCCTTACAAGAACGCTTTGATACGAAACACTTACAAAGTTTTTGCACACATTTCGATGCCAAATATTTATCATCACAGCAGTGCAAACCTCGGCGGGCGTGAAAACACCATTTGCGATGCACATAAAGAAAGATCAATAGCATCAAAGCTATCACGCCGAATAAGGCCGAAAGGACTGTCGTAATTTCAACGGTTCCTGAAATTATCGTTTACATTTTCAATGCTAATTTCAAGATTTTCTAGTTGTTAATCTATTTTTAAATAAGGACTTTGCCTAAAACGATTTATTATGATCTATTCCGAATTTTGGGGCTAAAGAAACAATGAACACAAGCAAGTAAGGCTCTCTATCCAGTCGTTGCAATAACGTTAAATATTCTACTGGTGTTATGTACTTCAGATGCACCTTAAAGATTTCCAGAGGTCTACGCGCTCCGAATATGAGCCTTCGAATTTTGGGAAATGTTCACCACTCGCCAAGTAAATGCAGTACACTTCCGACTAAGATGATAGTGCTTCGTAGGCTTATAAAAAACTGTTTATATTTATGGTATAGATGCTTTATCATAATCAGCAGAACGCAAATGGTTTTTGACATTAAGTGCGCCGCAGTCTCGATGATAGATTCGATGTAATTCTTCAATAACTTCCATATTATTCGCACATTTCATCGCACCACATTGCTACAGGAGTTGGAAATTAACTTGTACAACGGCAAGCTAGACCGCAGATAGAAAGGGCCCATAGTGAACAATCGAAAGCCGCGGATTTGCTCGCCGGTTTTACCAAAGCCATTAAAGAAAGTTTTAATTTTCTCTCCGTGAAGGTAATTAATTGTGGTTCTTAGTTGGTTACCATTCCAGGTGAAAAATGCTTGTTTTAAGCAAAATTGACTTTGGTTTAATTATATATGGCTAAATATTCCAAAACAGGTTTATCGCTAAACGGTCATATCCCGCACATGTGCCGCATCGTTGCAGGGATTACGACTAGCCTTATAATTTTAGAAAGTAGAGTCTATGGGTTAAGAGTGAGACTCAAAACTTGCTTGAAGAATTCCTTTACATTGATAAACGCAAACGGGAATCCCTCGCATCAAATATTTTTAACGCTTTTGTTTTTAAATACTTATTTACATACCATTTAAAGCGTAATTATCAACACTGGAAGTCACTATCATTTCCGTATGTAATGCTGTGCGTTATCTCAAATTTTGAATGCTAACGAGATGCCGTTAATAAAGACTGGGGCTTGTTGTTGCTACTGAAATTACCTGCAAGCTGCAAATCAAATTAAAAAGCAATTCAATAATAGGCGCCTGTGCTTGAATGTATGTGCAAACATATGTGAAAACACGAGTATGTAGATGGGAGAGCATTTCAATTTTGATTTGATTATTCCGGCGAATTTAAATATCAAAACAAATCAAATAATTCCCTTAAATAGCATACAGTATATTAACTTTTGGAAGCTTTCGCTTTCTTTCTTTTTCGGAAATTTTCAACTCACTGAACATGCCGTTATTGCAATTGCTAGGCAGAAGAACTTTAGACAAATCGATTTTTCAACATATTCAAATTTTTAAATATTTTATAAGAATATTTTATGCTCCCCAGTTAGTTAATTTACTTCTAATTTTGCACTTTTTAAAGCTTTAAGCTTCAGGCGAATATTTCCTTCGCAAAAAAATAAATTTAATAATTGTACGTTCCGGTATAAATTTAAGAAATATTTCATCGGACTGCATATGTGTAACTCTACCACAATCTTCACTGTTTTTCAGCATTAGTGTGATTATATCTTTTACGGCTTTTCCACAATTTTCCATACATTTGCATAGAGAACTGCTAATAAATCACTAAATTAAGAAATTATTCAAATATTTTCACTTGTATCAAAAATACAATACGGTTTGACTAAAATCATTTAACTCGTTTTGCTTCAATCTACTTTTACTATAAATTATCTACTTGTGTGTGAGAGATGTGTGACTCAATTTCACAGTAACAAGTCCTGTAGTCCTTTCTCCTATCTTGCTTTCTTTCTTTCAAAGCTCTCTCTTATACACGAACTCTCCAACTCTATCTTTGCTTTTTATCGTTGATAGTAGTTTATAATCGGCCATTGTAAACATCCGCGCGCACATACACACACAAATTTCGTTCAATATTAAAAAACGCGCTTCAAAAACTTCATAGAATTTGCATGAAATCAGAAGGCCCAACTTTGGACATCAGAAATATGTTCTACAGGCGTTCTCTGCACTCTACTATCTATATTCTTACAAATGCAGATCTGTTAAGGACTTGAACGGAAAGTTTATAAAGGAATACATTTTTTAACATGCACTCTTCACTATAACTTAAATTTTTTGCTCTCCGGAACACATAGGTTGCTTTTCAGATTATTTTGATTGAGCTTTTACGTATGGTCACCGCCTTTTTGTCTATTGTGAACGAAACACAAAACTACTGGGGCGAACACACAGCCAAAGCATAAAATACATTACATTATTGAAAAGGCTGATAATTACTTAAAACATTTATATAATACTACTACTTTTATAATAAACACTGTTTTCATACAAATGAATTCTTAACATTTTTCTTGTTCATTTTTCAACTAATCATATGATTGTTTTTCAACAACTGTCGGCTGTTTTGCCAGTTGGCAGCTTACTGGAAGAAATCTTCCAGCTAAACTTAAAGAAAAGTTAGAGTATAACTGAAAGACGATTTTCGCTTAACTGAAAGATAGAGTTATCTAACTTCCGGTTTAATTTTAGAGAAACGAAGCTATACGAAACAAATAATGAACGCTGACAATCAAGCAGAATCACTAATTTCACACATTTATAAGCGATGACAGATGACAATTATTACAGACTATGCTAGAATAAGGCTGTTAATATTTCGAAACAAAGGTGATAGGAAGAGTAATATCAGTAATATCAGAATGTAATGTCAGTAAGTAGTTAATAGCCGCTAAAACAGGGCTGTTAACTTACGAAACCACAAGACGGGAATAAAGGCTGAACCTAAACAAAACGACCTAAACGAATGGAATTTGTACTGCCGCACGTACACAGCTACGGCATAATACGTTATATTTTTTGAAATATCCAAATTTATAATTAAGTATTAAAACACGAATAACTCTTAAAGCTAACCAAACTGTTTTAACCATTGCATGTTTCCATAGGATTTTAACAATTGGCCTAGTCTTCAAAATGTCACTCAAAGTAGCTGAAGATTTTGTTCGCGCTCTTTCGCAAAGGTAATGTTAAACAGCTAGAAAGATTAGCAAGGAAAAGAAAAAAGCGTTATCTTATATAATTTAATTAAAAACATTTTCCACACAATAAAATGTTTCATATACAACCGTTGCTTGTAATACATTTGCAGATCTGGCAGCACACTAATTTCAGTACACGCCGCCAAAATTACAAGCGGCTGTCAGAGTAGCGTTCATGTGATATTGCTTGTTATCGCCATTTATCGACTACATACAATTTTCATAGGCTGCCGGCATTTTGATAAAGTTTCGGAAATTGTAAAAATCGAATAAAGCGCTGCGTTACTTTATAAAAAATTTATTAAAAAAAAACAACAAACAAAATGTTTTGGGGTAAGTTTAACAATCCGAAATATATTTTAAATTTTCAAGAAAAATTTTCTCACATCACCACGTGTCTAGTACCTGAAAACTTTTGTGTAGACAGTAATAAAGCTAGTAATCAAATTTCGATTTTTTTACACCTTTGAAAAAAGATTAATACAAGTTTCAATTGCTTTTGTACTAACAATTTTGAATATAAATAGCTTAGGTTGCATTCATTTGGTCCGTCTGTTTAAGTACGCATATGAAAATTAATCTATTTCATATATGTGTATGCATATGTAAGAACGTACATGCAGGCGTACATGTACGCGTGACAGGATTCAAGGTTGAACAGTGTCAATTTTAATATGAACAAATGTTCAATTTTCACGATTTTTTTTTTTTACGATTAAGGTATGAATCTAAAGCCGAATCGTAAGTATTCGCAAACTACAACAAAGTCGTTTCATATATCGCAAGTGTCACTGGACTCGCAATCATCTCAGGGTGGTGCTACTCAATTCTATATCACTTGCGAAAATCAGAGAATTCTAGTCTGTACTTTGCGCAAAGATGTCTGCGAGCAGTTTATGCTGGATTTGAATTTTGCTGTCGGCGACGAAGTCAGTTTCCAAAGCGTAGGTAAGTTGGGAAATGTTGTTTAGAAAGCGGAACATGAGCATTTACAAATTGTATTTGCAGGCAGCGGAAATGTGTCATTGTGCGGGTATCTTATCGAAAACGATGATATGGACGATTTATTAAATGGCGGTGAAGAAGAAGAAGAAGAATCCGAGACTGAAGCTGCCGATCAGGATTTGCGTCAAACTTTGAATGCTAAAAAAGCAAAATCGAAAAAAGCTGAAACCAAGCCAGTTAAGGGCGTTAAAGCCAAGGGAAGTATTGAAAAGAATGATGATGATGAGGATGATGAT